AGTCCATGAGGCAAGTTAATTGCATAGCTGATATATAGCTCAGTATACAGAATGCACTCCTGTAGCATCAGACACATTTTCAATTCACTGAATTATGCCTTTTAAAGCCTATAGTAAAATCTGCCATTTAAAAATGTCTTTTAAAATGCAGTCCATCCAAGAAGGCATTCCAGGGAAATCATCTCAGAAGCTTGACAAAAATGCAGATTTCTGGACTCCAGAATCTGCACTTCAACACATATTCTGGTAATTCTCCTATCACCACAGTTTTAGAAATATTGGCTGATAGAGATGTAAATATAAACTAGAAACTATTTTTTAAATAACTATTGAAAAATGGGGCACAACTCTGAATATTAATTTGGGGTTTTTATATGATTTATTAACTTTGATGTTTGAAAGTTGCATAAAATATTGCACCTTAAGAATTTTCTGACAAGCTTTCCCTAGCTATACAGTAAGCAACATAAGACTGTTAAGTACATTGCGTGCTTAAAAAATGTACTCAAATCTCTAAAACAAACGCATAAAAAATACAATAAGCAATTCACATCTTTATCTCCTATGGTTAGGCCAAGATGGCTTTCGTGTTTTTGAAGTGATCCACAAAGCCAAGATTGAGGTTTCAGAGAAAGGCACCAAGGCGTCTGCAGTCACAGGTGTGTTTGTAAGGGGAACTGAGCTTTCCACATAGCCCTACTGCTGCCTGTATCTATACTTAGCCAGTTCAATCTTCACACTTACGTTTCCTCCTGAAAACCCCAAGTGCAGGCGTGGTACAGCAGTTAAAAAACATGTTAACAGAGAGCAGTTTTTGAAAAAAAAGAAAAAAAAAAGAAAAAAGAAAAGAGATACTCATTTTAAAGATTTGTACCATCATCCCAAGTAAGAAAGTCATTCTGAAAAAAAAAAAAAAAAGGTATCTTTTCTCTTTAATTTCCCCAATTTCACCCCATCCTAATCAAAATGAAAAATTAGGATGCTTTTTCTTCAAAATCAAGGGACTTCATATCCAATTTTAATAGTAACTTTCTTCAAATGAATAGAAAACGCAATGGGGTTCTTCTGTTTTTATCTTTATTATTGAAAGTATTACAGATGTCCACGTTTAATGGGGTTCTTCTATTATCTTTCCTGCAGTGCTATTGTTACCAAAAAGGTCTGATTCCTACTTTTTAAAGCAGATCGGCTATACATCTTTTTCCTGAGAGCACACACAGTATTAGTGTTTTTTGCTAGAATTCAGATAAATTACTTATCAGCCTCTCTCTAGCAACAAGGGCTCATTTATCCACAATAGCTTAACAAGCATTCCCTCTAGCTAGTTTCCATGGTGCTGTACATCCCAAGAAAGGAGAACATTTCATAACTAAATAAACTAATAATCTCTGTAGCTTTTTGCTGTTCTCTCTCAAGCTCATTTGTAGTTGATATACCTTTTAAAAATTCTGATTTCTACTTCTGGGGAGATGTAGAAAAATCATGAAAGTAAAATAAACGATAAGTCTTGACTTTTTCCAGTTGTTGCCCAGTTCATTGTCATTGCAGGGTAAAAAGACAGTTCCTTCAGACCACTAGAGTATCCAAGAAATCCTCTCTCAGCAACCCTAACCTAATGGTCTAGTAAATGCCTGTACTAGATTTCTAGTCTTTCTGTTGTTCTTAAGTTTGCTGAAAAAAGCAAATGTTTGCCTTTGTAATTTTAATCCCTATACCTTATCTTAATTTTTTTAAATGGTATAGTACAGGCAAATAATTATAGTACAGCACATAAAAACAAGCCCAGAAGTCCTTAAGTGTCACCAACACTGAACAAAACATTCTAATTATTCCTCTTAATGTTCCCCCTCCTCTTATGGCAATTATTTATCAGCCTAGGAAGGAAAAGAGATTCTCAGTAAAGAGTTGTTGGCAAGTGTAAATGTGTTAAAAAGAAATAGTATCGAACAAGACTAATAAAATCAAGCAAAAGTGGATCTACTTTAACTAAACATCAGGCATTATTTTTATTTACGGAAAGAAAAAAGTCAAAAGTTAGAATCACGAAAATTAGGCATAGGCTTTACACAATTAAGCAAATATTGTCAACATCATTTTATCTGAGAATCATTTGCTGCAACTTGTGCTAGAAATCAAAGGAACAATTTTGTGACAAAATGAAAATGATCATTTTGGGACTGTTTGGGGAGAAATGGTCCATCAACAGATATGTCCTGTTAGTAATCATCCCAACGTCATACATATTAGATGAAAATGTCACGTTACCACACAGAACAGGCAACAGAGAGCCTTCTCTTGGAAAGGATACATATCAAAAATGAAAGATGACAGCTTCTACTCCCTCAAAAAAGACAGACAGGAGACTAAATTCGAACAGAAAAGTCAATGTCAAAAGCTGATAGTCAATAAAAGTTGATGACAATTTTTTCTTGGAATTAAACTGTATAAAAATGACTATAAAATCTTCGAAGTAGCTAAGGACACACACCATTTTGATGATAGGAGTTTGTAGAATTGCCTTAGTAAACAGAGAATGAAAACATAAGGCTAATCCAAAACCAGTGACATAATGTGCCACACATCTATAGTCCCTGTGAATTAATTTACCTCTCTTTCTCGGAGATACTTACCCACATCACACAAGTGGATGGACACTCTTCTGGTGGCAGGGGTATTGAAGAGATAAAAATGACTCTAGCCTTCAGTATACCAAGTTGATCAATCTTACTAATAAGGGCAAATAATTACTCATCAATTGACAAATGGGACACGAGACAGTTAAGAAAACCTCTTACTCTCAAGATTTAACTATTGAAAAATGTAATTTGTCCAGCCTAGTCATCCTCTTTGTTTATAAGAATCCTACAGTATTTCACTAATTGAAATATAAGCAGTTTCATAAAATGCAGAAAACTTGATAGAGGTGGGGTATTAAGCTTGAATTTCAATGGATTTCAAACCTTGTGACTAGATTTTCAGATGAGCATGTAGAGTATTGTGGCAGAGATTGATAAAAAGAGATTGAACAAACTGCTGCTTTACAACTCTTTCTAGGATTCATCCCCCCAACAATAGATTAAAGGTCAAGAGTCTAAAGGATTAGTAGTTCATAAGCAACCTTTGAAATAAAAATCAAAAATTTTTTAAGGACACTAAACATTGGCATAAACTGAATCCCTTTCTTAAATATTCTTAAGCATGAACTTTTATCTGAATGACTTGTATGTAATCCCTTCCATTAATCTCAGAATATAAACATATATATAATTTAAGATCAGACAATATATTCTGGATTTTGTGTAATTCTTGCTAAATTTACCAGTGTGACCATACAGAATTACCTAACAATTCCATCTATTAAATGACATCGTGCTTTAAAGTTAGTAGAGGTTAAAAAGGTTTAAAGAATTGCATATGAAAATACTATATAGCATTATACATGCTTCTTTTTCTTGACAAGGTTCATCTTCAGTATTGGGAGAGTTTCAAATCCCCTAGACTAAAAAAATTAACAGATCTCAAACATGTTCTTCACTTTCATCTATGCTTTTCTTCATAAAAAGTTACAATTTCATTACCCTATACCATTGAAATGTAAAAACTGTTCTACTAAAGTGTAAAAAGGGTAATTTTCAAATGTTATGAACCTAAAAATACTTTAATTTTACTATAATTTTTTATAAATTTATTTCACCCACTTAATCTAAATGCATTTAACCTTCTTTTTCTACTGACTACCCCAAAGCACTACAAGGCACAGCAGTGATATATGAATGTTGAGTCAGGTCATATGGTCGTGTCCTCAGTAAGGATATGAGACCACTTTACTGAAGGTTGACAATAAAAACAAGTTTATCCTTGTCCCAGGTAAACGGGGGTAATGCAAAATGAGCCAAGTCATCATAATATGTTTCCTTTTCATTTAGCTTCAAAAAAAAAATTTAAGAGTTTATATATGAGAATAGCAGAGAAGAACAAAGAGATCCCCCTTGAACTCCCAATTTGTTATGGGACTTTTGTAAGCATGGAATCAAGCTGTTAACAGCTAGATATTTCAGAGTATGTGATGTGCCCCAAACTTACAGCTCCCTAACAGTTTCAATTCTGAGCCATCCACAATCCTAATGCGAAAGAAAAAGGCATTGAAGGGAACTAAGGAAACCAATAATGTCCAAAGGTATCTGCTTTTAAAACAGCTTTTAAAGTATTTGCCTATCTGCTATAGATATTGTTGATTCCATTCTCTGGGCAGAAATGGAAGTACTTTGGCATGACCCAAAACAGTAAGAACATATAGAAAAAAGACAATGCAGATTATGTACCAAGTAATTACAGTTACGTTTAACAAATATGAACTTCAAGTGGTGTATTTTTTCAATGCTAAAAAGCAAAGCTTTTAAAATTCCATTATCTTAAGATAGTTTTAAATGATTTCTTTAAATGTGATTATTTCCTAAACCACACAAGAGTAAAATAGAGCATTTATTGATGGAATAACAAAAGTGCTTTTCTTAAATATTCTTCAAAATACATTTGTACAACTTACAATAATATATCCAAAATAACTGTATATACAAAACATTACCTAGTTTTAATGTATGTGCTTTTTTCCCCAAAAATTACAAAGTAACTTCTTTTTTATTTATTTTTTTGGCAAAGTTTAACCTTAACAGAGGTGACAATTTTAAAGGTTGGTTTAAGAAAATAGAACCTGAGGGAAATTGACACGCAAGAGTCAATGACAAGCAAGAGATTTGAAGAAATATTTTTAGTTTGTTAAATAAAAATGTTTTTTAGAGTGATACTTTTCACATTACAAAAATAAACCAAAATGAAAAGGTCACTGTAAAATGATGAGAAAGATTCTGTAGACTTGCTCTTAGTATTTCAAATAGCCAACAATGCATGTCAAAAAAATGAATGCAAATTCACAACAGTCTTGTATTTACTTTGTATTTGGAGAAGATAGAGTGAAATAAGTGGCCACATTCTGTTTTCTTTTAATTGCTATTAATATGGTTGATCTGATTAGCTCTTCGATGAATTTCATCCAAGAAGTTCTCCAGTTGTTCTATTAGCATTCGTTTTTTAAACCTGTATATAAAAAAACAAACAAACAGCACTCTCAATTCCTTTTTAACGAATAAGTTATATATCGATATAAAGTTTTTCTTAAAACAGAGAAGCTGCCTTGGGCAGATTTTTCAAAGTGAAATAAAATTAAAAATCAACTTTATGATATATAAAATCTCCTGGAAAACTAGAAAATTATTTTTATCAGTACTGTATTATAATTTGTTCCTAAAAACAAACAATCCAGGCCTAAGTACAATGGGAAAGTGGTTATTCCTTCTACGATAAAACAGAAAAAGGTAAAACCTAATATATACACGATTATTAATATTGCAGCAAAATTAGGACTCCCAAAGTAATGATTCCAATAGCTTATGTTCTATGAAAGCTGAATGTTAAAAGGAATGTGAACAAAGTATGAATATAATCCTTCACAAAATGTTAGATGAAATGAAAGCTGGGTAATAGCACTTAAAAGCCTCAGTGTTCTGTTACAATTTGAAAGCTAGCAAATCAAAGATAATTAGACATCTTTAGTATAGAATATAATGAACAGTTCAAGTTCAAACTGCAACTAAAAATTTTGTTTCAGTAATATAGTACACTGAAACTGCATTTGTCTACATAAACAATAATACTGATGATGCTTTTTAGATATCCCAAAACACTATACTCACTTCTTCTCTACTTGTAACCACTATAAAATTATACAACTCTTCAAAACAGCAATTTTCAACCTTTTCATCTCATGGCACATATAAACTAAATAATTAATCTGCAGCACACAAAAAAACACATTTTTGCCAATCTGACCAAAAAATAGATATAATTTTCATTCATTTAAACTGATTATTGTTGTGATGGCTGTTGTCATTTTTTAACTTGACAATGTAAGGGAAAAGAGGTCAATGCCCCTGACTAGTCAGGTATTGCAGAAGTTTTTAACTAAATTCTAAAAGGTGGCAGAAGTAAAAGTGCAGGCACCAGAAATATAGCTAAATCCATGATGATGTCCAAGATGACAGAATACAATGTAAACAGCAGAATAGGTTAAATACTCAAAACGAATAATGTGAGAAGTTATTGCCTTATCTTGCACCTTCAAAGTAGCCTATGCCATAGCCTCACTCTTTCTCTCACACACAAACACACGCACACACAGAATTAACTGCTCAATCCAAAACCAACTTTGAGTGTAGCATGGAAGAAACTGAGGGACTAATTAAAAAATGGGTATATTGGGAAGGTCAGATAAGATAAACTGTTTTCTTAAAATACTAAAAATCTTTTTTTTTTTTTAATATATATTTTATTGATTTTGTACAGAGAGGAAGGGAGAGAGACAGAGAGCTAGAAACATCAATGAGAGAGAGTCATCGATCAGCTGCCTCCTGCACACCCCCTACTGGGGATGTGCCCGCAACCAAAGTACACGCCCCTGACCGGAATCGAACCCGGGACCCTTCAGTCCCCAAACCGACGCTCTATCCATCGAGCCAAACCGGTTTCGGCAAAATACTAAAAATCTTAAAGGAAAAATAAAACAAATTTTTATATTCACTAAATGTATAAAACTATGCTTTACAGTTAACTGTACTATGGAGTTATCATTTAAAATCTTGATTCACATTCCTTGTACTAAAGTTCATAAAAATCCTGGGCTACTGAAGCAATCAGAATAAGGCCCATTTGTTCTACTCTGGTCCCTTAATTACAAGTTTTCCCCCATATAAATAAGCTGCATTAAAATATTGCCTTTTGAAGTTATTACTAATCACTGATTAATATTAATAGTAGTCCAAATATACAAAGGAGAAAAATTAGAGGCTATTAAAATATACAGACACCAAAAGCCACAGAGTAGGAAAGAAGAATTATGCAAGTATTTGTACTCGGTAAGAAAAAAAGATTCTGTTTTTCAAGTGAACTTCTTTCAATAAATTATAAAAGAGAGAAGTGCTTGTGTGTGTGTGTGTGTGTGTGTGTGTGTGTGTGTGTGTGTCACATACATGAAAAGCACATTAGATACTGTCAAAATACTTCTTATAATGTTCTATAGATTATTTACCTTGATGCTTCTTTAATGACATTTTGTAAAAATATTAGTCTCGTTTGTAAACTGCCTTGTACATGCTTCAGTAAAGTGAAGATTCTTTCATATTCTTAAAAGAAAAGAGAAAAATTCATTTGCATTCATATTTAATATTTTTCTATTGCAGTGTACAAGATATTCTAAGACAAAACAAAAGATATTCTACATAAAATTTTCACTGCTCATTAAAGACTTTAACTTGCCAAACACTGCTTTTTTAGTAAAAGTTCTCATTAAAGTACCAGATCTTAGAAGAGTGAATTAATAGCTTTTTGGTGTTGCCATTGAAAAGTAAGATGCAAGTGGCTTAACAAAAATCCACCCTTATAATGAAAATTCTAAACTATAGCCACCATGGGGAAAGGAGATTGGGTACTGGGGATAAAAGGAGAAAAACAATAAGACAAATTAAGATTGGCTATTTCAGTTTCAAGTTTCCACACAAAACTCTGCTAAGGAGTATAAAATCTTTAATGGCAAGGACTGAGTCTTACCCATTTCTGGACCATCATAACAAATGATCTGTCAACATCTTCTGAAAGAATGCTAGTTGATACTGATACTTTATCCCACAAAGTTCTTTTGTTTTCATATAATAGATAGCTTTCATAACTAGTTTTTTTTGTTTTGTTTTGTTTTTTTAACCTAAACACATCCCTGGTCACCATAATAATTTAAATCTTAAAACACAGTGGTAGGCACTATGCCAAGAACTTTAGAGATATAAAGTCATTTAATATTCCTGACATCTTTTTGGGTTTGCTGCTACATTAAAATTTCAGTTGCTAGCTAGGAGAATATTAAGACTATGAGTTTCTGTCATGGTAGGAACTATATGTAATTTATCTGAGTTCTCTTCCTATGTTCTCAGTTTCTTCTACTTATCATAGTACTTTGGATATAGCAAGCAGATATTTGTCAGTTTTTGTCAGCTGAACAAAGAGTCAAATCCCACATATCTATATACATATAGAAACCTAAGCAGCCGTTCGATTGGTAGCTATGATGCACACTGACCACCAGTGGGCTAATGCTCAACATACAGGACTGTAAACAGGAACAGACTGATGAATGATGAATCTCAGAAGGAAGGGGGAGATGGGAAGGGCAGGAAGAGATTAATCAAAGATCTTATATGCATACTGGAGGCCTGATGAATGGATTTGTGCACGAGGTCTCTAGTATGCATATAAGATCTTTGGTGGGGTCCCTTGGCCTGGCCTATTGGGATAGAGCTGAACCAGCAGTCCAACATCTCCTGAGGGATCCTGGATTGCAAGAGGGCACAGGCTAAGCTGATGGACCCCACCAGCGCAAGAATCCATATAGTAGACCTCTAGTAGCTTATATACTATTCAAGATTGATCTAGAATCACATATAAGCTTTTAGTTTTGTTTTTTGTTTTTTTGAGTACACACCAAAAATCTGAGATTTGTGTCTAAGTATACATACTTCTTCCTGGCTTTCTAATCTCTTTCATTATTTGTGCTTTTAGTTCAGTGTTGACTTTTTCGTGGCTTCTGCAATGCATCAATTTCTTTCCTTTGTTGAGTGAAGATGCTGGTATATTTTCTTCAGGGCATTGTACTTTATCTCTTGGCTCCTCATGATTTTCTAAAAATCCACCAACAGTGATGTCATTAGTTCCTAAATGATCATGACCAAGAGTCTCTGTATGATTCGTTGATCGTTCCAGTAAATTGGCTGGAGAAGATGATGCTGAAAATTCAGTATCCATAGCATTTGGTGTAATATCTGATGTAAGTTGGTCAGCAACATGGTTTTCAACCACATCATCTATTGTTGAATCATTACTGGCTTCTGAAACTAAAAACAAAGAGAAGGGGGGGAAATTATGAGGAATAATTTCAAAGCACATGGTAAAGAAAACTCAAAGAAATATTATTGCAACAAATTACAACTGATCATTTTCACAGATGCAAACTAACAAATAATGTGATGTGATGTTTAAGCTTTGATAAAGATATGGTGGATTCAATGTGGAACATTCATAATATTTATAAAATCTGTACAATTTTTGCCCCCCGGGGGGGGGGGAAATAAAAGCAACTTCAACTTTTACTTCTCTGTTTTTCTATGGCAATTTTATTGAACAAGTATGGTTTAATGTTTTAGGAAAATATACATGATCAAGATTGTCATGCTTATCTTTTCTAGCTCTAGCTCATTTCAACATATAATTGTCTTATACATCTGTTGTCACTTAGCGACCTAAGTAAACACAGGGAGTTTTACATGTTCAATGGTCTTCAGGGAACATACCACCAAACAGGTCATTTTACGGTACACCCTTTTCTTATACTCATCCATCTGGTCTTCACTACTGGAGTAATGCAGAACAATCCAGTGCGCCCTTCAGCTCATTAGACAACTAGATTTAAAAACCTGCCACCTTGCTATTTACATTAGATTACTACACTTACTCCCCACAGTAAGTTGAATTCTAAGTTCCTTGATTGCTCACTAAACCTCTAAAACAACAGCTGAATTCATCACTCCCCTCACTTACTGTACAAAATGTACTCATCCCCACAAAAATCCCTTTAACTTTTGATTCCCTCCTAAATTTTATTCCAGAATATGCAAACTCTATTGAATGTCTTATAGAATTCATTTCTAATTGAAACCAGCTCTCCTCCAAAGAAACTGCTCTCCTTTTCAGAACTGAAATAGAAACTTTCTCTTAAATACTCTCCAAGAGTGTGGACTGATTCTTTCAACTCTCAGTACCACCTCAAGATGTTTTTTCCATGTACTCTTGTTAAAATTCTTGCTCTTTTGAGGCTCAACTGTGTCACTTTGCTCATCCTCTCTCTCCTGATCACTACCTTTATTGATCTCTAGGCACACCTCTGTGGCCATGATGTCTCCAGTACCTAGTTCATAACTTCCTCCCACCTCTATATGTCCCTCAGGACATCATTCTAGTTCCTTACTATACAAAGTGTGGTCCGTAGTCAAGAAGTATTAGCACTATCAGCAACCTTTCAGTCCCAGCAACCTCCCCAACTATAGCCTGTCAGAAATAGCTACTTGAGAGATTAAGATTGACAGTGGTCAGACAGGCTAAGTGGAAAGATTGGTTCCACCTGGTGGTAGTCAAGGCTGTGGAGATAGACGCAAACAGAGGACCAGTGGACCACTTGGAACTTCAACAACCTAACAGGAAACTGAGAAGTGGCAGACAGTTCAGAAGAGTGGCATCTTAAACCAGCCCTAATGGGGCATTAAAACTTGGCAGAAATGAACCACACTCCACTTTTTCATTTTTATTATTATTTTGTTATCTTTTTTCTTTATTTTCCTTTTTTTTTTACCTGCTTAGTTTTTCTTTTCACATTATTTTTTCATCATTCTATTTTTAATTTTTTATTTTATCCTATTTTTCAAATTAATTTCCCTTTTTCTTTCTCTTTCTTCTTATACACTCTTCCTCTTTCTACTTCTTCTCTACTGAATTGAGGTACTCCCCATTTTGATCTAATTCCTTAACCTTACCTTTCTGTATATAAGCTTGGCCTCTACCGATTCTGCCCCCATCCTCTTTTCTGTGTGTTTGGTATTTGTATTTCTGGTTTATCTGTTCGGTGGTGTTTTATCCATATACATATATATTCGCCCCCCCTTTTTCTTTTCTCTCATCATTTTTTTTTCTCTCTTTGATATCATTTGCATTCTTTTCACTCCCCTAAATCTCTGGTGGTCACTTATATTGGGGTTATCAGTGTCATGAGTACATTTGTGTTTTGTTTCCTTTGTGTCACGTCTTGTCAAGTGGCATTTTGTCCTGTTTGGTCAATGTGGTAAAAAGTGAGCCACATAACCAGACACCCAGAGAGGAGACTCTATCCACGAACGGGTCAGTAATGCTCCAGACCCAATTATAGAGGCAGGAAGATGGTGGCAATGAGTGTGAAAGTGAGCAAAAGGGGAGTGTGTGTGGACGTTTGGGGTGTGTGTGTGTGTGTGTGTGTGTGTGTGTGTGTGACAGTTTGGTCCAGCAGGACCTTTGGGGTATGAAGACCGGGCTCGCCTAAATAGTAGCAGCCTCTACTATTGTTGCAAACAGTCCCGGGGCAGCCGGCTTTACTGCAGAGGCTGAGCCTTCTTGAAGTGAAGAACTGCTGTGATGGGGAGCCCAGCCTCACCTCCAACCAGGGTGCCTCAGACACCACCCGGGACTACCGACACCCCAGGAGGTACCTGCTGCCTCAGCTGAGGTCACACAGTCACCGAGACTCCAGCAACCCCGGGCCTGGGCTCCTGTGAGTTTCAAAGAGTGCTCCCCTCTGGCCAGCCCAATGTTTTAGCCCAGGGCACCATGACCTATGAGCAGCTTGCCCCTCTCTGAGAAACAGCAGCCCCACAACCCGCCCCCATTTAGAGGAGCCACCACAGCTGCAAGCAGCCATGCAAACAACACCTATTAGAGGAGCTGCTGCCAACTGAGAAACAGCCACTACCGTGACCACCTGAGAAGCAGCCTGTGCATGACTGGACACCTAGATCCTTTGGAAAGAGCAGAAATGGGGAGACAAAGAAACCCCCACAGAAAAGAAAAGGAGGAATCACCAGAAAAGCAGCTAAGAAGACATGCAATATGTTAAAAATTCAGAACAAGGGTCATACAGTTCGTAAGCCGGATAGATTAAAACAAAACAAAAAAAACAAAAAAACAACAACAACTTATGTAAGAATCAAGAAGAAATAAAGACTGATAAGCTGCAATAAAAAACACTATGGAAAATTTCAACAGTAGACTAGGAGAAGTGGAGGACTGAATTAGCCAATTAGAAGACAGGGAAGCAAAACACACCCAAACTGAACTGCAACTGGAGAAAAAAATTAAGAGACAGGAGGAGAGCCTAAGGGAGCTTTGGGGTAACATGAAACAAAGCAACATACAAATAATAGGGGGGCCAGACCGACAAGAAGAGGAACAAGTATTAGAAAACCTATTTGAAAAAATAATGTTAAAACTTCTCTGATTTGGGGAAGAAAAAAGTCACAAAAGCACAGAGTCCAAAACAAGATGAACCCCAAAAGACCCACACCAAGACACATCCTAATTACGATGGAAAATGATCAGGACAAAAAGAGAATCTTAAAGGCTGCAAGAAAGATACCAAAAGTTACATACAAGGGATCTCCCATTAGATTATCAAATGATTTCTCAACAGAAACACATCAGGCCAGAAAGGAAAGAAGGAAGTTTACAAAGTGATTCAAAGCAAGGGACAAAATCTAAGAATACTATACCCTGCAAGGCTATCATTCAAAACTGAAGGAGAAATAAGAAGGTTCAGAGATTTAAAAAAGAGCTAAGGGAGTTTATCAACACCAATCCAGCAATGCAAGAAATTCTAAAGGGACTGGTATAAAAAGAAGAAATATAAAGGGAAGAAGGAACTCAAGGCACAGAAAACTATAAACAAGTACATATCCTATCTAATAAAAGAGTAATATGCAAATCGACTATCACTCCAACACACAAGATGGCTGCCTCCATTTGATCAAAGTTGGCTACCCTCATGTGGATACAAGATGGTCATCAGGGGACAACCAGGACTGCAAGAGAGGGCAGCTAGGGTGACCAGGCCGGCAGGAGAGGGCAGTTAGGGCCAATTAGGCCTGCAGGGGAGGGCAGTTGGGGGCAATTGGGCCTGCAAGAAAAGGCAGTTGGGGGGTACTGGGCTGGCAGGGGAGGGAAGTTAGGGGTGATCAGGCCTGCAGGGGAGGGCAATTGGGGGAACCAGGTCTGCAAGGGAGGGCAATTGGGGGAACCAGGCCTGCAGGGGAGGGCAGTTAGGGGCAGCTGGGCCGACAGGGGAGCAGTTAGGTGTTGGTTAGGCTGGCTGGCAGAAGTGGTTAGGGGCAATGGGGTAGGCAGACGAGCAGTTGGGAGCCAGAAGTCCTGGATTGTGAGAGGGATCCCAGATTGGAGAGGATGCAAGATGGGTTGAGGGACATACACCTCCGTGCATGAATTTTGTGCACCGGGCCTCTAGTCAATAATATCTTTAAACATAAATGGACTAAATGTTCCAAATCGAAAGATATCGAGTGGCTGAATGGATAAGAAAACATGACCCACATATGTGCTGTCTATAAGAAACTCATCTCAGAACAAGAGACTCACACAAACTGAAAGTGAAGGTATTAAAATATATCTTCCAGGCAAATAGAAATGAAAAGAAAGCTGGGGTAGCAATACTTGTATCTGACAAAATAGACTTCAAAGTGAAGGCCTTAAGAAGAGATAAGGAAGGCCACTTCATAATATTAACAGGACCAAAACAATAAGAGGATATAATCCTGATAAACATATATGCACCCAATGCAGGAACACCCAAATACGTAAAAAAATTTCTGGAAGAAATCACAGAAGAGATCAACAATAATACAATCATAGTAAGGGACTCTAAAACCTCACTGACATCCAACCCACAAGATGGCTGTCCCCATGTGATCAAAGTTGGCTTCCCCCATGTGGATACAAGATGGCCAGAAAGGGACGATAGTTGAGGGTGACCAGGGCTGCAAAAGAGGGCAGTTAGGGGTGACCAGGCCATCAGAGAAAGGCAGTTGGGGACGACCAGGCCTGCAGAAGAGGACAGTTTGGGGGCACCATCTAAACAAAAAAATCAGCAAAGAAAATTCAATCCTAAATGACTCATTAGATCAGATGGACTTAACTGACATCTTCAGAACATTTCACACCAAATGCCATGGAATATACATTCTTCTCAAGTGCACATGGGACATTTACAAAGACCACATATTGGGTCACAAGAAAGTATCTCCAAATTCAAGAGGATTGAAATCATATCAACCATCTTCTCAGACCACAGTGGCATAATCTCTATATACAAAAAGCCCACGGCCCTAATGTCCAAAGACTAGCGTGGATGGGCAGGGCTGCCAGCACAGCGAGGCGCACAGGTGTGTGGGGCCATGCAATTTTGTGCGCTGGACTTCTAGAATTAGAAATAAAGTATAATAAAAACAATAAAAAAAATTCAAGCACTTAGAAGCTGAATTGCATGCTATTAAACAATGATTGGGTTACCAAAAAAGACCATTGATCAGCTGCTTCCTGCACACCCCCTACTGGGGATGTGCTCGCAACTGGAATCAAACCCGGGACCCTTCAGTCTGTAGGCCAATGATCCATCCACTGAGCCAAATCCATTAGGGCTACTGAATACTCTTCTTAGACTACTCCTCTAGCACAGGCAAAGGCACAGCTTTAGTTAACTAATTCCATTCACCCTTCAAGTGTTGGTTTAAACAACTCCCTAGTAAAGTGCCTTAAGCCTATACACCAAATTAAGTTCTCAGGCCAAATATGTCCACAACATACCTGACTTCCCTTTCACCACACTTCTAATGAAATGTCCAATGACTTTCTTTCCTCATACATAATAAGTGAAAACACTGATCACTGCTATACCTAAATAGCACAGGTATTTAATAATTGCCTGCATTAAACTGAAATTGAAAACCATCTTTCTATGGATATTGATAAGAACCATTAAAACTATTATTTTAAAATACTTAAAATTTGCAATCAATATTTTAGATAAGTGATCACCAACCTTTCAGAACTCACAGACCACCAGTTGGCAACCACTGTTTTAGATTTTAAATACTAATAAAGCATAATGAAAATATAAAATGTTCATTAATTAAAAAGAATCACAAAATTAATTACATGCCAATTTAGAATAAACATTAACTTCTCTAGAAGCTCTTAGACTTTATCAGGTTTTTTCCCCCCCGATATAATCTATTTTAAAATCTCTTCTTTGAAGAACCAAAAAGCAGCAATATAATGTTTTTGCTATTGATATTATTTTATGCTCTTACTTTTATGAAGAGGAAGGGGTTTAATAAGATCTGGCTGTGCTTGAGTCATAGGTATAGGTGGTCCTTTTCCTCCAATATGATTGTTTACAACTGGATTCTGTTGTCTGCCTCTTAGCAGTGGAGACATACAGCGACGTCTTTTAGGGATCCCTTGCATATTTGGTTCTCCAGGTCGTTTATGTTTATTTTGAGGTCCAGCCACAAATTCATCTGCTTCATCAATCATCATACCCTATAATAAAATACGTAATTTCTTTGGATTTATATTCAGTTTTTAAATGGCACAACTAATTCCAATTTCCATAAAAACAACTCTATTTAATTATGTTTACATTTATTAGGTACTCTATCAGGAAAATAGCTTTAGCTTACTTTAAATTCATAGTACCTAGCATAAACAAATTATATAATGAAATATTTCAAATTTACCTTTTTATCCAGCTTAAAAGGGTTGCCAAATGTATGTAACCTTCGAGGCTGATCAGGATCAAGTTCTCTTAGTGGAGAAGGTACTTGCTTGAGATATTCCTGGTAATTCCCCATTTGTGCTATAGGAACACTGTGCACTTGATCTTTTTGAACAAAATAAAGTAACAACAAAAGTTAACATTACTAACACTGTTCTAGTTATCACGTATCCTCTTATATATGAACTAGAGGCCTGATGCACGAAATTCATATAAGAGTAGGTCTTCCTCTTTCTTCCTCCTTGGCTGCTGGCACCAAGGACTTGGGCTTCCCTTGCAGCCCCGGCTTTGTCTGAAGGTCATCTGGTCTATTTAGCATATTACCCTTTTATTTTTATAGATGCTACCTAGTGTTTGTTATTTTAAGCAGTCTTCTCTTACAACATACCCTAAATTAATGTGTTGCCATTATAAATATTGTGACATAAAACTCTGAAATTTTTTAAATGAAGTTTAAAATCATTGATTTTATCTTCTAAACAAAACAAAAATATTGCAGCTAATTTCAGTGCATAGAATTAGTAATGTATAACCTTACCATGAGAAAGAATGTCTCTTCTACTCTATTCCAAATATACACAATTTAATTATAACAGAATTTACAGAAAAATCACATATATAACCCTTTTATATGTAGTAGAATGCTTACATCAAAGATAGTAAAAGATTAAATTTTCATCTGACTTTGACATGCCAGTGTCATGCATATGGTTGAAGGAAATATTAGAATTTTCATCTGACTTGATATGCAAGTGCCATGTATATGATTGAAGGAAATATTAGAATTTGACAATTATTAGCCACCCAGAGTTAAGTCATCAGATATTAATATCTTATATAATAAAGATGTAATATGCAAATGGTGGGGCAGTGAGCTACAAGCGGGTGGCAGAGAGCTATAGGAAGGGGCAGGCCAGCAAGCTATGGGAGGAGTGTAAAGGGGAGGTGGGGAGGGCAGAGGGAGCTCCAGGAGGGTGGGGCAGTGGGCAGAGCTATAGGAGGGCAGCAGCTACTGGCTACAAGCGGCCGATGGAGATCTACAGGAGGGGACAGGACAGCAAACTATAAGGGGGGACAGAGAGAGCTACTGGCACACAAAATCATGCACAGGGCTACTAGTATAATAAAATAACTCAGTTTGTATATATGTCTGCATGTGTGAATGGATGAAAAATCAAGAAAGGAAACTAAGCTGTTAACAAAGGTGGTTATATCTGGGGAATAGAATTTGGGGCAAATTCTATAGTGAAGACAGAAAGAAATGTAAAGAATCAGGGATGACTTTTTACTTAATGTGTTTGAATTTACAATGAGAATTGTGCAAGAATTCTTTAAGAGTTACAATATTCTCTACTGTGTTTTAATATTAAGAGAAAAATACCAATATTAAAATAATGATCTAACCTTCATCCTGTCCTTTAAGAAATCTTCGGGTGCTCTTCATAAGATTAAATCTCATTCTTGTTAAGTGATCCAAAAGATTCCGTCTAGGTATGTCATACGCATTTCTAAATGTCTGTGGCTTTAAATCCTATTGAAAATATTCAAAGACAAAAGTTATTTATAAATATAGAATTAAGAGACTAAAATCTCTACTTGCATATAGGTTTGAAAATAATATATATAAGTTAACTAATTACCTTAAAAAACAGAATAGAGTTGTGATGCAATCTTAAAAGTATTGTTTTGGGAACCAAAAGATAAAATTTTGGAAGTGAGCTCAATCAAATCATCTCAAATTTATATCCAACTCAAGGTTTTATTATATTTTCTGATTAGAAGTAAACACCCCAATTTTTTTTTTTTAATTTTTATTCACTCACACCAGACAGCTATGCTATATTGGGGGTTGTCATTTTTTAAAAATATATTTTATTGATTTTTCACAGAAAAGGAAGAGAGAGGAATAGAGTTAGTAACATCGATGAGAGAGAATCATCCATCAGCTGCCTCCTGCACACTCCCTACTGGGGATATGCCCGCAACCAAGGTACATGCCCTTGACCAGAAACAAACCTGGGACCCTTCAGCCCTTAGCCCGACAGTCTATCCACTGAGCCAAACCGGTTTCGGCTAAACACCCAAATTTTAAAGACTTCTAAGATTTTATCTTATGCTTTGATGTATAATGTACATACTATAAAACTACCTATTTAAGTATACAGTTCGATGAGTATTAGTAAATTTATAGTTTTGAAATAATCACTGCAATCTAATTTTAGAATACTTCCATTGTTTCAGAAAGTTCTTTGTGCCCATAATAGTCAATTCCTATTATTAGCCCCAGGCAACAACTTATCTGCTTTCTGTCTCTGTACATTTCATTTTATAAATAGAATTTTGCAATATCTAAAATTTTCTATCTGGTTTCTTTCACTTAGCATGATGCTTTTTTGATTCATCCATGTTGTTCATGTATTAGTAGTCTATTCCTTTTTATCAAAGTAAAGTAGTATTTCACTATATGGATATGCCATCTGGAAGGTCATCCAGAAGGACATCCGGTTTAATTAGCATATTCCGCTTTTATTATTATAGAAGGATATTCAATTTTTCTAGTGCTATTGTTGAAAGGATTGTATTCTCACTTACTGAATTATTTGGCACCATGTTAAAAATTGACTATTTGTGTGAGGGCCTACAACTTCTAGACCAAATTCTGTTCCATTTATCTATATGTTTGTCCTTATGCCAACAACACAAACTGCTGATCACAACTGTAGCTTCACAATAATTTTTAAAATTAGATAGTGCAACTTTGTTTCCAAAATTGTTTTAGCTATTCTAGTACCTTTACACTTCCATATGAATTTTAGAATCAGCTTTTTTTTTTTTTTAACAAGTATTCATAAAGCATTTTAGGATCACACTGTGCACCCAAGGTCCTAAGTAACAAATTACAGTGACTCTACCATTAGCTATATAATTTTAAGCAATCTCTAAGCCTCTGTTTACTAACTAAAATAAACGGGTTGGTTTACTTTTTGTCAATACATTCATTCAGTCACTGTGGACAGCCATTATTATTATTATTATTTTTTTAAGAATAGTTATTGCCCTGGCCGGTTTTGCTCAGTGGATAGAGCATTGGCCTATAGAATGAGGGGCCCCAGGTTCGATTCCGATCAAGGCATGTACGTTGGTTGCAGGCATATCCCCAGTAGGGGATGTGCAGCAGGCAGCTGATCAATGTTTCTCTCTCACCGATGTTTCTAACTCTCTATTCCTCTCCCTTTATCTCTGTAAAAAATCAATAAAAAATATATTTTTTAAAAGAATAGTTACTGATTTTTAGAGAGAGTAAGGGAGAAGGGAGAGAGAGAGAAAAATCAATGTGAGAGTGCAACATCAATTGACTGCCTCCTGCATGCTCTCCACAGGGGGTGGAGATGTAGGGGGGGATTGAGACCACAACCCATGCACGTGCCTGACCAGGAATCAAACTGGCAATCTTTCAGTGCACAGGAAGATGCCCAACCAATTGAGACCAGCCAGGGCTGTCTGTTATAATTCTAAAATTCAATTATTCAATCAAAGTATAATGATCATTATTCTGCAGAAGCATAGAAAGTACTTCTGAAAAGTTGGACAGTTTCAGTTAATAGAAAATTTTATTTATATTCAATAATGTAACAGAATATAACTAGAGCAGTACTAAATTCATGTAATTATTACCTTATTGAGCAAAGCAACTTGGAACCCAGTGTATTCTTTCATGTTCAGGTCCAGCAGTCTATGAGGAACATCCTCTGAAATTCCCTGGAGGAGTTGTTGAAAATCTTTCCTATAGGCCATTGATAATCCATGTGATCGGCTTCGAACTTTAATTCCAGTTTCCTGTACTACTTTTTTGCCTACAGATCCAATGACTCGATCAGATTCTATTTTGGCCTATGGTAAAAAAACAAACAAGAATTATTTTTATATAAATTGGTAAATTAAATATTACAGTTTTAATCTTCTATAAACTAAACATTTACATATTTAAAAAGTATATAAGAAATTGAAATCCCAAGTGACATACTTTATGTCAAATACTTGTTAAATTAAACATAGTTTAAACAATGTCTTATGATTTTAAATCATTATTATAACCTTTTGGAGTAGGATGAACAAACAAAACTTATCTAATTTAAAAAAAAAAGTTTTCATTGATTTTTTTGAGAGAGAGGAAGAAAGATGGAAACATTGATGAGAAAGAGAGAGAGAAACATCCATCAGTTGCCTCCTGCATGCCCCCTACCAAGGACAAAGCCCGTAACCAGCAAATGTGTCCTGACCGGAAATCGAACTGGTGAATTCAAGGTGCACGGGACTATGCTTAATCTATGAAGCCACATTAGCTGGGCTAATTGTATTTATTAATACCTACTATACTTAAACCATGAAATGTAAAGCAGCCCTAATTGAAATATGTATTTCTAATTCAGAGGTGATTTAAAATTAGAAAAAAAATAATTGCATCAATATTTATTTAAAGACATTAACATATAACAAATGTTCATACATACAGCAAATGATGAGGTAATTTTTCACTGGAAAGCAAATACCATTATTTTGACACTTTACAACCTGCATTTCAATTACTGGTAGCAGTTAAAGGAGAGATGGCAGAAGTACTGGGAAAATGTTGTATTTTATATGATAGTAATAACTTGGCAGTCAGTTAAACTCTATTGCTGAACTACCTACTATAGTATCTGTTAATGTGACTTATGCCCCAAATAACAAAATTCAATAGCTCTTACAAACATTTCAAAATAAACTACCATTTTGAAGAAAAAAACACAATAGGTTTTAAAGCACAAAACAAAAGAAACTGATATTTTATCCAAGAAAAACAATTTTCTAACATAAATTTCTCAAAACAAACACTATTCACATAGAGAAAATCTAGGAAGCCATTTCATAAACTAGAAATTATTATTTGAAATTAACATTTCAAATCATAGCATACAATGTTCTTAAGACAGAATAATGTATATATGATATATGTGATTTTAAAATGTATATAGTAATATAATGAAATTCTTTTAGAACTATCAAGAACTAATATCTGGTCTGCTAACCATCTTAAAAACGATTCAAAATATGTAATGGTTCTATTTCTTAACATTACCTGTTGACTCAATTTTTTGAGGTATGAAATGACACTGTAACTTAGTCCATATTCCATACTGTCTGCTATGAGGTTAGGTGCTCCCATCATTCTAACAGCTTTCCTCAGAGGCTATAGGCAAAAAAACAACAACCATCACTTGTTAGAAATTTAAGGCTAAATGTGTTATGTCAGTTTTGAAAATTTCTGCCCCCCAAATTTCTCTTTTTCTTCAATAAGAGAGTAACAATATATTTGTATTTCAGTAAAATGTTGGTCAGTGGTATGAAAGGCAGTTTGAAATACTAGTAAAAAGGCATTAGAGACTATAACAATAACACCCAGGGTGAGAAAAGGTGAAATCCTGAATTTCTTAGTATCCCTGGAGATAGTAAATTTGAAAGAAATGGCAGGAGACACTGTAGAAGTAGATATGATAGAACTTGCATTAGCTAGGCTGAAAAAAAACAAAAACAAAAATACACACAGAAAGAAGCTCAGAAGGGAAAATGAGGAGGAAAAAACAGTGAAATTTTACTATGGATATGATACAATGAAATAATATTTAATTGTAATGGGAGACCAATTGAAACCACTTTGTACAATGAAAAATATCACTAGCAGGAGTATCTAGTATATTTGAATGGAATACAGACAGAAAAAGGATAATTTGCTGACATATTAGAAAGTGTATAAGCCTTTGTGTACAACTAGAATCAAATCCCAGCTCTGATATTTAATCTCCACATAGTTTTGGCTAAATCCTTGGGTTGCTATGAAATGTAAATGAGTCAACATATGTAACATTTGATATTCAAAGTGTTTCTTCTTTTCACTCTCTTACTAGGCAGGCATTATGTGCTAAACACTCATAAACTTATCACTTAAAACTATAAAATATTATTTTTAAAGTTAAAGAAATTAATGTTCTTATGAGAAACCATTTACAAAGATCAGTTATAGTCAAATGCTATAATACTCCTGAATTAAAAGCAGGAGTATGGTCTAAAAAAGTTACTTTTCATAAAATAAAGTATACTTAATAATATATACATTAATACTAGGTTTTAAGTAATTACAAAATTTATAGTTCTAAAAATAAATGGTTCTTTGAGAATATATACTTATCTTAACCTAAAAACATATTTTTGAAGATTTAGAAACTAATGAAACAAAAATAATTTTGTACCCTTAGAAATAATTCTGAAATGGCAATTAGAAAACATAGTACAATTGAGTTTAAAAACCTAAATTCTAAAGCCACACGGCCTGAGATTGAATTCGAGTGCCCCATATATTTGCAATGTAGCCTTAGACAACTTACTTAATATTTTAGTGCCTTAGTTTCCTCATCTGTGAATCAGGAACAATGATCATTCCTACCTCAGAGGATTACTATATAAATTAAATAAGATTAATACCTATAAAGTGCTTAGGATAGTACCAGACACAGTGTAAGCATTGTAATATTCATGATCATCATCATCATCATCATCTTGCAAGTCATGAAATATTTCTTTTCCACTATATTTATATTGGTCATTTGTAAACACAATTTTTATATTTAATCTATAACAACATTAAATAGAACTTTGTAATGCAATAAAGTATAAGCATAATATAAAACTTTATAACAAGTTCTATTTTTAACAATAATATTCTTACCCCAAGATAGTAAGGAGGCATTGTCTTCAAATAACTTTCGAATGACTGTCTCCATTTCAATGTTGGTTTTGCTTTATGTACTTTAAACAAGTCATCTATAAATGTATAATGTAAATAAACTATCATTACTAGATGAAAACCAGGTCAATTTAGTCTGTTTTCTTATTTATAAGAGGAAGAGTAAAATGAGATATAAGCTTTTAATAAAATAAAAGTGGTAAAATTTTTGGTTCTGGAATTTTCAATTAGTAATAACATTTTAAAATTTAAAAAAAAAATGCCAATTATGGTATAGAATTACATCAAGGAGGAATCAGGAAACACACAAGGAAAAGCTCTACCCTATATAAACCTAGACATGAAACAGATTTGAGAAAAGAAACAAAGTGTTTTCTATAAAATATACCTACTAATACTTTGACTACAAAATCTGAATAATTTCATAAAGGAAAATTAGTCTTCTCCAAGAGTTCACCTCAAAAATTATAGACAGATGATCCCCATAAACTAACTTTAGGCTTTTATCATATTACTAAAGGATCAGTGCACAAAAGTCATGCATGAAGGAGTCTCCTCAGCCCAGTCTGCACCCTCTCCAACCCAAGACCCCTCGAGGATGCCCAACTGCCGGTTTAGGCCCCATCTCAATCCTGGACTGCTGGTTCCTAACTGCTCACCTGCCTGCCAGCCTGGTTGCCCCTAACTGCCCCCCCCTCCCTTGCAGGTCTGGTCGCCCCCAACTGCCCCCCTTCCCACCGGCCTGGTCGCCCCTCACTGCCGCCCTACACAGCCTGTTCAGTGGTTCAGTCATCCCTCATTGCCCCACACAGCCTGCTGTTCAGTGGTTTGGTTGTCCCTCACTGTCCTCCCTGCTGGCCTGGTTATCCATCGGGTTGTTTCAGTCATAATGACTCCTGGCTTTTTATATATTAGGATTTTGGAGCAAGTTAAATTCTTTTTTAAAAATAAAAATATCTGCCAAGAGAAAATTAAGATAAATTCTTACAAGAAAATACACTTATATTTTATGACTATGCTTCACAAAATGTCTTATTTACCAAATATAAAGCCTACATTACTAATTCTATGTAAGCAATCTAACTTAAATTCATACTTAATCTAACTTAAAGAATTATTATTATTTTTTTTTAAATCCTCTCCCAAGGACATGTTTATTGATTTTAGACAGAGACAGCAAGAGAGAGAAACAATGGTCAGTTGCCTTCTATATGAGTCAACCAGGCATTGAACCCTAGAACTTGGGTATGTGTCCTGACCGGGAATCAAACACACAAGCTTTTGGTCTATAGAACAAGGCTACAACCAACTGAGCCACCTGACCAAGGGCTAGAATATTTAATTTAGAAATTTAAAATATAATACCTTCATAAGTTGTTGACTCAAAGGTGATTTGACACTGCCTTTCAATTTACCACAAACATGTAATAAAACAACCTTTGACAGATTTAAAATTTTAAAGACATTTTCATTAATTTTTAGCAGATAAAAAACTCAGAGAACATTCCTATGTATGCTAAGCCACAGAGAATGTGACAAGAATGACTTACCTAAAAGGGGAAGGAGGACTGGGTAATTGTAAGGCATCACAAATAAGTTGACACAGTTCAGTGCTGTACTGGCTTTCAAGTAACCAAAGGGATGACCAAGTTCACTATATTTTGCACTATTGCTCACATATACCTGTTAAAAAGGAGTGGTTAAAACTTATTATTTTTTAATTCTCACCTGAAGATACATTTTTACTGAATTTGAAGGAAGGGAGAGAGGGAGAAAGAGAGAGAGGGAGAGAGAGATAGGGAGAAGGAGAGGGAGAGGAAGAGAGAGGGGGGAGAGAGAGATAGGGAGAAGGAGAGGGAGAGGAAGAGAGAGGGGGGAGAGAGGGAGGGGGGAGGAGAGAGGGGTGGGGGGAGAGAAAGGGAGTGAGAGGGAGAGAGAGAGAGACGTCGATTGATTGCCTCCCACATGTGCCCCAATTGGGATTGAACCAGAAACCTGTTTATGTGCCCTGACCAGGATCGAACTCAACCTTTTGGTGATGACTGTTACAATCAAATGATCCACACTGGCCAGGGCAAAACTTCATATTTTTATGAAGGTTAAAACCTTTACAGAATGATTATATAAACTATTGATTATATTTAACTTCTTAAGAAACATTTAACTTAAATTGTTCAGCTCACCTGCCAACATGTTTGAGGAGATTTCCTTTCCAGGATAAATTGAGTCAGTGGTGAAGGTTCCAACTCATATTTGTCAAAAGGCAATTTGTCAATAACCATTGGTTCACAATCTGTACAGGAAAACTTCACTACAGGATGAGATGTACGAGGTGGCTAGAGAAGAAAATCTTATTACTATTTACATAAAATACCAGAAACAAACTCATTTTCAGTATCACTCACTAACAAAATTACTTAGTTCCTAAGTTTTATTAATCAGAGTTTAAATTACTAAACTATAAAATTTATTAGTCATAGTTTAAAATACTATAGATGGAAGAAAATACTTAAAAATGCAAAGCTTAAATTATATAATATTCAGAAGAAAAACACAAAATACTTCAAAATCTACATAAAATGGAAATCTTTTTAGGTTTACAATGTAAAATTTTGGAATAAGTAGGTACTCATTGTGTTTTATGTCCAAGGAAGAAACAAGGAAGATACAGAAACCTTCGATTTTAAGTCCTCACTTGTAGAAATTCAAAATTACTTGTATAGAGTAATGTTTTCCAAACTGATCATATACCTTCAAGTTTTTGAATATACAATTAAGTTAGGACAATATATACATACACATATATACATACATATATACACATATACACATATATATACACATATATACATACTAGAGCCCGGTGCACAAAATTGGTGCACAGTCTGGGAGCCCTCAGGGGATGTCCTACTGACAGCTTAGGTGGGGAGCAGGCCTAAATTGCAGTCTGGCCACCCTCTGCAGGCTCATCAGGGGAAGGTGTCACTCCCATCACCCCACTGCTGCTGCCACTGTCAGTCGCCAAGGTGTTTTCATCAACAGGGACTCCAGTCCCTTCACCACAAAAAAATGACAACTTTCTTTAGGCATTTTCAAGATGTCTCTTTCATAGGATATGACATTTCTTTCTCTTTTTTTTTTAACCCTCACCTGAGGATATTTTACCATTGATTTTTAGAGAACATGGAAGAGAGAGCGAAAGACAGAGAGAAACATCAGTGTGAGAGGGACACTTCGATTGGGTGCCTCCTGCATGAGCCCTGACGTGGGCCCGACCCTAGCGCACCTTCTTGGATTCTTATTACCCAAGTTATCAAAAACGCTGAGAGTGTCATACAGGGAGCTTAGCCAATGAGCTATAGAAAAGGTGTTTCCTCTGTAGCTCACATGCAGAGGCAGGCATGCTGGGACATTGTCTCCCAGAGGTGGCAGCCTGGGCATGCCCCCCTGCCTCTTCGCTATGGGGCTATGCCATCCAGTGCAAGCAGTCCCCTCCTGCCCATCTGCGCGCAACCTCTTCTTGAACTGGTTGTGACTGTTACGGTGTCCCAGCTAATTTGCATATTTAACTTTTTTAATATAAAATATATATTATTTATAAATTATTAAGTATGTATAAATGTATAGGTACATAATAAAAGTTTTAATGTATTCCTTCCCTATTGTGGTAGAGTGTTTTGGTTATCCCTGTGGTTTATACACCCTACTTCTGGAGATACAAAAAAAATATAATACTTGAAAGGAAAAAAAGGGTGGGAGCATGTTACTCTATTTTCCCCTTAATAGTTTCCTTCCTAAAAATCTTATTGGTCTTTATTTAGGGTTACTGAGCTCCAACCAGCTACAAGGGGCATCTTTAGAAATCAAGCAACATTGCAGAAGACATAAGGCCAAAATCAAGATCAACCAGACTGCCCCTCTGACAGCCACTTCCTCAGCCAGAACTGGACAGGAAACTGCTGGCCATCTGGGGGAGATGTCTCCATATATGAATGTTACTGGTATATGTACAAGTACCCCTGTCCCATATCCTGGGTGTGTCAGCCTAGGCCACAACCACCAGGCAGAAGTCATGATTCCTGAGAAGATCTGAACTGCCTCCACACACCTCTCCTCTGTCCTTCATCCTCTGACAGGTGATGAAGCAAGCCCTGGATACTTGGTGATCCCCATCCTGGGATCTTGAATCACGACTTAACTAATAATAATTGTTGAAAAATGGAAAATAAAATCCCACCAATTGAAAATTGGTGAAGAAAATATGAGCTATGAAGATATAATTTAAAATTTAATAGCTATAAAGGACTCTCAGCCTCAGTTACTACGTGTACACTGGTGGCTCCCAACTCTGTGTTGGGACCAGATCCCTTTCATTTCTCGTATTTATCCAACTGCATGCTAGACAAACTAAATCTCCTACAGGTCCCTCAGACACATTATTATCCAATTTATTTCTTCTCCAAACCACAAAACCTAAAGACCTAGATATTATCCTAAATATCTCCTATTTATCCTCCATATTTATCTGTCACAAAGACCTAGATAAAGAGTCCATAAATTCCAAGCCACTTAGCAGAATACAAACATGGCAAGTGCTTAGTATTTAGTTACTACCCTCGGTCAGTACTAAATTCTCAACTCTCTAGAAATTTATCTTCTATTTCTTATCAGTCTAATTCATGTCTTCATTTCTCAGACTAGAGTTGTATAACTGCTTATTTTTAATTAGTTCCCCTAATTAGTCAGCACCCTCTAATCCAATGGCCATGAAATATATGTAATCATGTAATGACCCTACCTGAAAGTATTTGATAAAATAACCAATCACCTAAAAATAGGGTCCAGACTTTTATTATACACGAAGATCCTTAATGATCTGGTCCCCATCTGCCATTCAACCACCACTGCGTACACTCTGTGCTCTAGCCATGCCAAACTATAATACTTGCAACTGCTCAAATAGATCATCATCTTTCATGCCCCTGTGTTGCACATGTTATCTTGACTGCTTTGTTATTTTCTCCCTTGCATATTGCAAATAAAGTTTTAAAGTCTGAACTGGCAAGTATCAACCACTAAAAGACTTATTTCCTTATACTCCTTCACTGTATCCCAAACAAATACCAGGAAATTAGGCACTATCTCCTCTGGGTTCTGCTCTGCCCCTCTATTACAGTTAACACACTGTACTATACTATGTTTATATGTCTGACCTTCCTATAAAATGGTTAGGTTCAACAGGGTGAGCGCTGCGTTTTATTCAACTTGTACTCCTGTGCCTAAGTTGTATGTAACACATTGCTTATTCAGTCCATGAAACTCACTTGTTTTTTGGATGAAAATATTGAGGTCAAGAGGAAAAGAGAAGCAGAGGAAATTCCTCTAGAATTTGACAAACAAATTTTGCATTATTTCAGTTAATCCCCCAAAGAAGCCTATGAGATAGGAGCTATTATAATTATTTAACAGATAGGAAATTAAGGGTTAGCTAATAATTGGTAAAGCCATGATTCAAATACAGAATCAGTCTCTAGTAAATCACACTTATTTTCAATACTTTTTATTTGAAATAAAAATTTTATTTCCCTCTAATATCCTTTAGTCACTAAATTTTGCCAATTCTTCCCATTATCATCTTATGATTCTTTCTTCTATCCATCTTAAACCAAACTCTTAATATCTCTTATGTGAACTATAGCAATAGCCCAATAGGAAACCTGACTACCTCCCAACACATCTACTTTTCCTGCAAATAACCACCACCAGATCAATTTTCCTAGAGCAGCAGTTTGTAAAAACATGTCGTCAGTTGTTCTTTCAGTCCCACTGAAAAAGGCTTAAATTCCTTAACCCTGAACTTAAAGTAATGAACAATTTGGCTCATTTAATAGTACTCTCAATATGTGTTATGACCCACATTACTCAGGAATACACTTGTTTTCCTCTAAATATACCTTATTCTTTTTTACTTCCATACTTTTTTCTCATACTATTTCCTCCCCCTACTGAAATCCTATCCACACTTCAAATTCCTCTATGGTTTGTAATAATTTGCAATAGACAACAAGAGTAATGTCAATAGATATTGCTTGTGATCCTGATTTTGAATTTATATTAAGACCCGAGTACTGTATTAAATAAAGACTATAGACTGAATAATCAACCAGACAATACTTCATACAAATATATAATCTGTTCTATAAGAGTTGAAAGAGCTCCAGAAGAGAAAGTAAAATGAACAAAGAAATTGAGAATTTCTCTATAAGGCTAGACTGGAAAAATTATGATGGTTCAATCAGAAAAAAAAAAAAAAAAAAAAAAAAAAAGGAATAAAGAAGATACCTCACTTAAATTTATAAAATCTTAATTTCATTAAACCCCAAGTGAATAAAGGAAATATCACTTTATAGATCTTGTGTAGATTGAAAGTAAATATTATCCTATAAAGTTGATATAGGTTTAAAATATAAAAGGTGTCAAATAGGATTCAGTTTAATTCACAAATGATAGCTATATGAAACATTTAAGACTGCTTAAAATCTGAAATATAAGTATCTTCAAAGTAATAAAAAAATGTAATTCTTATCTTCTAAGGGTAATATGTCATACTCTTCCACAAAATATTCACGATGCCCTCAAATACTAGAAAAATATACTAATGTGAAAAGAAAATATATTAACAAGATTAGATTACTTTGTATAAATTTACCCTTAAATTTGTAGAAATTTATTATTAGAAAAACCATACAGTGAACACTGGTAATTCATATAAATCAGTCAATAAGCCCAACTGTTTCTTTTTTTTAATCCTCACCCGAGGATATTTTTCCTTTATTTTTGAGAGAGAATGGAAAAGAGAGGGAAAGACAGAGAGAAATGTCGATGTGAGAGAAACACATTGATTGGCTGCCTCCTGCACAAGCCTGGGCCAGGGCCGAGGCCAGGGAGGAGCCTGCAACAGAGGTGTGTGCCCTTGACTGGAATCAAACCCTAGACTCTTCAGTCTGCAGGCTGATACTCTACCCACATAGCCAATTAGCTATGGCAAGTCTTACTGTTTCTAAAAAATAATTCATGTAGCCCTGCTGGTGTGGTTCAACGGTCAAGTGTCGACCTATGAACCAGGAGGTCACGGTTCAATCCCCAGTGCAGAAGGCAGCCAATTAATAATTCTCTCTCATCATTGATGTTTCTTTCTCTCTCTCCATATCCCTTCCTCTTTGAATCAATAAAAATATATTTTAAATAATAATAATAATTCATATAAACAAGACCAGAAAATCTTTTTTACCTTAAATCTCTAGACTGACAACACTGAATATAACTAAAACCATGCAAGTCAACATGAATTTGTAAGACTAACTCCTAAAAGATTGAAAGCATACTATCAAAATTATTGTGGAAGCCTTCACTTAAGTTCCAAATTATGTCTCCAAGACAAATCTTATGTTACATTATGTTTAGAATCCAAAGAGAAACTCCTTATATTTATGATTCTGTACACAGATGCTAATAATAAAAACATAAACATAGTATTAGATTCTAAAGAAAACAGATGCTTTTTTTCCCATTATACAAACAATACAGTATACTAAAGCAACTAATAGCTTCTCATAGCACTTTGAACATTTGTCTAATTCCTGTAAACTAGCCACACATTTAACTGATAATAGTAAAACTAGTATGAAAAACAACTACATGGCTACTATTACAAAGTCACAGTTTCTCTGGTACTTACTAATGTTGGAGAATTCTGATCTGGCCAAAAAGACTCTGGAACAGGCCAATGACCTATAGGAACCCCAGTTTTGGGATTTGGCCTGACATATATGAGTTTGTGACAGCTATGCCAAGGCTGAGATCCAAAAGGCCTAGATATATCTGGCTGCCCGTCTATAGCAAAGAAATTGACATAAAAAAGCATGTATCATTAAGGAGAGAAAATATCAAAAGTTCAATTATATCTATTATTACTTAATAAAAATGTCCCAATACTTGTTCAATTCTGAATTTGCCTAGTTTTCTTAAATGGTACAATACTATCACGACTGCTTAACATTTACATGAGATTAAAATTCACTAGAGAGTAAAGTCTGTAAATGCCAACTATGAGTTCAGCAGTTGAAAGGAGGGCTCATAGTATCATTTGCTTGCCCAATATGTAAAACATACTTCATGGTAAATAGTTATTTAATGAATGATATGTTTCCCCCACCAGATGATAAAGGTAAATACTACTCAATATTTTCATCATTGTGGTTGGCTTAGGAAATACTAGATAAGTATTGCTAAAAAAGTAATCATTATAACTAAAGAAAAACTTAATATGCAAATCCAGATTTGAAGTACCTACCTTTAATCTGAAATAATTCTACCAAAATAGCAACTCTCTTCAACTAAACATTTGTTTAGTGCCTAACTTTAAGCCAAGTACTAAAATAATATAAATACATTCCATGCCTAACAATTCAATTAAAAATTTAAAAAACAGAAACAATGATACAATTTGTATAATCTTAACTGTCTTCTGCTCCTTTCCTATAATCCCCCTCCTGAGGATAACCATTTTTTTCATTTCTATGACCTTTCTCTTCTCCCACCCTGTGGATCACCTCTGTCAAGTGTCATTAACAACTTTCTAATTCTTGTTATAAGCTCCATTGTATAATGCAGAGGATCCAGATGTAATGGTTGTCCATTGGTTCTAAGGTAACTCCTTATACCTTCTAATATAAATAATTCATGATCATAGAATATTGGATTCATAGAGTAAAGCTAGGTGGAGCTTAGCTGGAGTTAAATAATCCAGCTTAATGGTAAAGGCTGGCTCCTCATGTTTGGACCACGTAAACCATTTGGTTCTGGCCAGTTTGATCCTTAGAAAAAATAGTGTTAAGGAATTAAATAAACACCTAGAGTTCACTCCTGTGAATAAAGGGATATAGGAGAAGCATATATACAGGAGAGAGACAACATTATAACACTAAAAAGAAAATATGAGGTTGCTCATCTATAAATGCTTAAAAAGGTCTATGGCTCTTATTTTTCAATTCTAATTGAATAACTAATATAGCAAATTTAGAATGTTTATAAGAAAAGTGTGATAATACCTTCTACAGGGGAAGGATCTGGTCCTGCTTTTTCAAAGTTTATTACTACTCCGCTTTGCACTTTCTGCACCAAGGACTCCAGACACTGATTAAGCATTCTTGGAGAACATACAGAGTAAGAGCGACCTGAGATTAAGAAAAAATAAAATAAAGTGTACTGGTCAGTTGTAGTAATTCCTACCTTTAGTAAGAAAGAATAATAGTGGGTTTTCTGACAGTATATTAACAAAAGTTTACTGGTAAAGCTTATTTCATTATCTTATGCCAAGAATGAACAAAATAGTAATTTTCAATAAACCAACAATTCCATGTTGTGAGAGTCTTTAAATTTTCTCCTTCCAATATGGGTACATGAAAAATAGAGATCTCGTTCTGAAGCACAACAACAATGTCATACTTTACTTATTATATATTATATAAAGTGTGATTTCAAAAATATAGACATAAAAAACTATCTCCAACTGTTACCCAATATTATTAATTTTTCTTTATTATACTAGTACATATACAACATCTAGGATCTAACTCCCCCAAAACCTTACTCCTGCTTAACAAGTATTATCAATAAAATTAATGCTAAGCACACAGATCACTTAATTGATCTGCTGACAGTTATTGCTTATTTTAAATATTTGCATTTTAATATACAGATAATAGCCTTCGCTTTTCAGAATTTCACTTGGCTCACATACTTGGGAATTACATCTCTTTAACATATAAGTGGTAGAATGTGCTTTTCTAAATTTCATTTGGCTTACATGCTTGAAAATCACCTATCTTAAATAAATTTCCCTTTTGAATATTTTAAATCTATACGATTTTTAGTTCAGAAGCATTAAAATGCTAGTAATTAAGAAAAAAAAAAAAACACTAATAAAATGATCCCTTAAACAGAAATTTTCAATATATGTATATATATCTATATATACCTGTGCTATCCCATATGTGGTCACTGGCCACACAAGGCTATTGAAAACTAAAAATATAGCTAATCCAAAATGAGATGTACATTATGTATAAAATATACACCTGATTTAGTAGTTTTAATATGAAAATTACATAACATGTCTCAACAATTTTAAATATAGATTTGACGTGGAAATATTTTATATATATTATCGATAAATTAAAATTTATTAAAATTAATTTCACCTGTTTTTCTTTAATGTGACTACTATAAAATTTATAATTACATATTTAATTTGTACCATACTTCTATTATATGTATTAATACAGTCCAATACTAAAAAGCTTAACAACTAAAATAATCTTTAAACATCATACAATATAATTTGCAATGAGCTTAATATGGAATTTTATAAATTCAACAATTCAACCAAACATGACTATATTATTGTATCTGACATACCAAATTATCCTTATCAATTTATATTTAACATGGGATTTTCTAAAGGCTATTCAGAAAAGAGAACATTAGGCAGTAGTGTGATTCAAATCCTGTCAGCTTTACTTAGAAAGCAAGTATCATATAACAAATAACTTATCATTGTACAATAATGATAGTTGGAATCATAAAAATATCTACCAATTACAGAGTGTCTATGTGCCTGGCACCATTCTAATCATCATATTAATTTATTTCATCCTAGCAACAATCACTGGGCTACTTTCTCCCAATAAGAAATAAGAAAACTAAAAGCACACAGAGGTTAACTAATTTATCCAAGTTAGTACACTAGTATAGCTAAGATTCAAATCCTTAGAATATTAGAAACTTAAGTCTGGATATACTTTGTTCTTCGGAAATCGTGAAGTTAATTTGAAATCAGTATTTAAAACAGAATGTCTATATGGAGTCACACTTAATGGAAAGAATTAGTGAATTATTTTTTCCTCAGTCAATTTAAAATGTACAAAAACAATACATTAAAAGGCTGACCATTTTAATATACAAAGTATTAATATGTAGAAGACTATAGTATATATCTTATTTCATGAATTTAAGCATATTACTAAGATGCCATTAAAAAACAAAAGTTTTTAAGTGTGAAATTGTGGGAATTCTCTCTACCCCCTAACCTGTTTCATCAATTAACTGATTAGGAAAATGTAAGTAAATGAGTTATGATCATAGTATGAAATAAAATTACTAACAAAGATGTTTAACAAAAATTAGAGAAAAAGTGAATAAACTTGAGTGTGAATAACTTGAGTCACTTGGCAAATAACGAAAATCCATTAGTTCTTTTGAAAGTTAAAGAGAAATAGCAAGTTTTGCCATTTTTACAAAGTGAGCCTATATATCTTACAGAATGTTTCTCTTATTCTCTATGTAAAATCTCACCCACTGAAATGGATGATACTTTGAAGCATAAAGTTTCTAGAATCACTAATTATATTTGTGCAGAAAACTCACAACTTCAAGCCAAAAAGCTGGATCACTTGCAGTTATGTAGAATGGACCAAAATTAAAATTAAAATCTAAATATAGGAGCCTGAAGGCAGAAAGTAAAAAATATATATATAACTTTCTCACCAAAGTCTACAAGAATTAGCATTTTAGTATAAGAGAGAAACAAAAGAAACATTTCTAAGTTAGGCAACAGTCCTTAACAGAGTCTAAGTTAAACTAATTTACTCTACAAACTGTTTTATAATTTTTATGAAATGCTTTTCATCCTTGATACTTCCACTGACATGTCTTAGGCATTTTTTTAAATTTGATATTATCCCCCTGCCTCCCCGACACCTGTTTCTCCCCAGTGTACTCAGACAAGTCCATTCATTTCCCCTTGTTCAGGCCAACTAGATAATTTAGGAATCATCCTTGATTCCTTCTTCCCTCATTGTCCTTATCCTTGATTCTCCTTTGCATCAGATCTCCTTACCACCTCCAAACCTAGCACTTTAAATTAAAGTACAATCATCTCTTACTAGTCCCTGTTCAATTCTTGCCACTTTACAGTATATTTTCATCTAGGAACTGAAGTGATCTTTCAGAAATAGAAATCAGATGTCACCTCCTATAAAAAGACCTGTAATGACTTCTACTTGCAGTAGGAAAATAGAAAATATTTATTATGACCTAAAAGGGTATTTAATATTTGGCCCTTGCCTACATCTCTACACCTGTTACTCTCTACTTCTTCCCATGTAAGCTCTAGTAACATCATCCTTCCTGTTGCTCTGAAAATACAGAGCATGATCCTTCCCTTACTATTTCTTCTGCCTAGATCTTTCTTTACCTCATTATTCATATCTCTACTCGTATGTTACACTTGTTGTAGTGATCATTTCTCAACATATACAAATATTAACTCACTTATGTTGTACAACTGAAGTAACATAATGTTGTATGTCAATTACACCTTAATTGAAAAACTGACGGTGGATGAACACGCTGTAACAATAGTTTAGCCAGATTAATATTTTTAAGACACACCAGGGCAGATTCAATTTCTATTCAAATAAGTGACATTACCTTCAAGATTAGAGATATGGAAATGTAATTTATTTTTAAAACTGTTGTTTTGTTTACTTCTATACACATGATAACGATCTCCAATGATAAGCAATATTTCAAAGTGATTCAAACAGGAGTAAGCATATTTCTTAGGTATATGGTTTTTAAAAAATGGGGCACATCCTCAGAAGACTTTCCAAGAATATTCACTGTCTTTCTCAACTTACTTTCTAAACCCTTACCCTATTTTTTTCTTCACAGAAAGAAGCACTCCCTACAATAATATTTATTCATTTTACATGCTTTCATGTTAGACAGTCCAAAAATGTAAGCTTTCTGACTATTGTTCCTGCTGCATCAAGTATAGTTATTTGGCCCTAGCTGGTTTGCTCAGTGGATAGAGCATTGGTCTGCAGACTGAAAGATCCCAGGTTCAATTCCAGGCAAGGACACATGCCTAGGTTGCTAGCTCAATCCCCAGTAGAAGGCATGCAGGAGCCAATCAATGATTTTTCTCTCATCATTGATGTTTCTATCTCTCCTCTCCTTTCCTCTCTGAAATCAATAACAAATGCTGGAGGCAACTTTGTTATCACAGAAAGAGTTGAACTTTCTTGGTGGGATGATCCATAATTTTCTCTAAAGAATAAGGTTTGATTGTCAAAAACATGTAAAATATTTTTAATGTCTCTCTCCCTCTGTCTCTCTAAAATCAATAAACAAAAAAAAAAAAATTAAAAATAGTTAATTGGCCTAGAGTGGGTACTCATTAATTACGTGGTAGTTAAAGAAAAATGCTTACTACAATTACAAAAATTTTAAAAAAGCATACATAAAAAATATAACAAAATATTAATCATTATTTTGGCAACACAGGCAAATTTCTTTCCAATTTTTTCCTCAATGAACATAAATTATTCTACAATGAGAAAAATAAATGTATACACGCTACTCATATCATTAAGTCTTTAAAAATGCACAAGAAAAAGTGCACAAATATTAGTAGTGATTACATATTACATAGTGCAATACCAATGGATATTAGCATTTTCTATTCTTTCTACCTTTTTGATATTTTAATCCTCAAAACTTTCTTTAGCGAAAAATAAATAAGAAAACATATTATTGAGATACTAGAGGCCCAGTGCACAGATTCATACACTGGTGGGGTTCCTCAGCCTGGCCTGCACCCTCTCACAATCTGAGACTCCTTGGGGGATGTCAGACTGCCAGTTTTGGCCCAATTTGGAGGGCTGGGGTGAAACCGGCAGTCCAACATGCCCTGAGAGATGTAGTAGTGGGCAAAGTGGCAGATAGCCAGGGAGGAGCCCGAGTCAGGTGCTGTGCCACTCCTGCTCATCCTGGCCCTACTGAGCCTGGCGCCAACACCGCACTGACCACCAGGGGGCAGTTCCTGAATCGAGCGTCTGCCTCCTGGTGATCAGTGCATGTTATTCTGACAGGTCGAATGGTCACTTAGGGTTTTATATACATAGATATGAAAAGCATTTGAGCCACTTCCCATTATTGCTAGCAAGAGCATGGAAAGAGGAAAATAAACTAGTACTTCAGGATGTATATTTGGGAAAATTTTCCTCATTTTTTAACTAACTAAGGTTTCTGGGTCATTAAGAGATATTACCAAGGGTGACTTCGGAATCTTCTCCTCTAGAGATGTTCCTTTCAAAGAATAAACATAACTTTAGTATATTACTGCCCAAAGGCAACAACGTTAACTACTACATGAGGCCTTAAGTTCTTTTTGATTATACCACTCACTTGCTAGAAGTACATGTAGTCCCATAACTTTACCATAATTCTAAGTACAAACTAAGTAATTTACAGTAAGGAATTTCCAAAGTGAGAATGTTTTAATTATAGCCTCAATGGCCTTTTTCAATCTGTTAAGTAAAAAACCTTGAGTTAAAAAAAAAAAAAAAAATCAGGATTTTAGCAAGGCTGAAAACTAATATTTCCTGAATACAAATGTGCATCCACACACAGAAACAATTGGGGCTGTCACTGAAAAATAATATCCATGCACAGAGAATTGTTAGCAGTGATTCTTCAAGTTTAGAATTTAAGGTTTCCCTTTAAATTGTATACACACGTCTTTTTTTCTTTTGTAAATTAAATTGTGAAGGTATTATACGCGTTCAGGAAAAAATACTTCTATTAAATGAGAACATTTAATATAGAATAACAACTTCCTACTTTACATAACCTTTTTTGTCTGTGAATTTTGCAGATGTCTAACACCAGTGAAATTTTAGAAGGCATCTAAAGTATCAATTAGACCTTATATTTGTCTTTAACTGATATAGCTGGCTATGAAGGAATCTCAAAAAGTATTACCAACTGTGTCTAGAGACTATGCCACAGGTCCCTGACACAGGTGAAATAGTGGTATGCCAGACTTGGACATTTTACTGTTAAATTCCTTCAATAAGAACTAAAATGCCCCATGAAAGCAAAACTACTATGTCTGTCATATTCACTACTGAAGTCATAGAACAGTGCTTGGTACACACTAGGTACTCAATACATATTTATATGAATTAATCTACCTGTTAGCTAATTGCATAATAAAGAAATTCTGAGACTATTACATTGTTAACTTAGCATATTGATTACCTGGACTAGCTGGGTAAGACCTAACTACCTGCGTTTCCTCTAACACATCTAGCTTCCTCTTTGCCTCTGGGGAAAACTACACTTAACCAGGCTTTAATCATTACATGCTTAATGGATATTGATATGATTTTCAAACATTTTTCACAAAAAATAATTCCATGACATTTGTAAATCATTGGCAATCTTTTAGGTAAGAAAATAAGTTTAACAACTTCAAATACCAGCACTTTCTATGGGCAGAAAAAATTACCATTCATTATTAGATCCAAAAGTATTCATATCCTATTCAAATCAATGCTCAGACCTTCATCAATATAGTTTTAAAACTATATGTGACTACTAATTATTAATATTATAACTTGTTAGACAAAAACAAACATGGAGTTTTTGAAATGTACATTTTAAAACATTCAGGTAAACTCTGCTTTAAGTCACTAAATAACTGCCAGCAAAAAACTTACCGCCTGTCACTTCACACATTGGTGTGATTGCAGAGTCATCTAAAGGCACACCTGTCAACTGTTCTGATTCTACTGACATGGTGCCAGGCAACCGCAACACTAATGCAAAGAGTCTCTGATCCCAACGAAAAGGTTCCTTGGTCAATTCACTTCCAGGCAAAGGAGAATTAAGAGGTAAATGGAGCTGAAAGTAAGGGGAAAAAAACAATAAGATTTCCACATGCTACTTTTCCCAAAAGGCCACATTAATTACACTTGTATTAAAACTACATAATGAGTGTCACTAAAAAAACAAGCCCAAAAGCATTTGCAGATATAACTAAAATAGTACATGAGATAGTTACTTCAATTTTCTTAAGCTCTTCTCGGAAGATCTCAATAGAAAGAAATCTAGAACTGTAATTTTTTTCAGATTTTAATTCAACTATCCACCAAGTGCTGGGCTGTTTTCAAATAATCACTTCATTATCAAAACCACCCTTTTTATTCCTATTTTCTAGATTTAAAAAAAAAAAAAATGGATCTCAGAGAAAAGAAATGATTTTGGCCTCCTAGGTATAAGTCTGTACTTTATTACACTGCAGCAGTCCTAAACATCTCCACAGTTAATAATTTAAATATGCATCATTTTATATAAAACATACATTTCCAAAGCATTTGCAGAAAAGTAAATTTTGTTACTCTAATTGCATATTAAATGTTATTAAAGTTAATGATTCTTATATTTCAGTAAAAACAGAGAGGGTTTGGGGGTTGTTTGCATTTGTTTTTTCCCCAGCACTATTTAACCCCCATATCCTCTGTGTTCGTTTTTTGGTTTTTTTTTATGGTTCTCCTCTTCCCCGATAGACCTGCTAAATCATAATCTAAAAATCTTAAGAATCTTGGAAAGCTTTAAAGTGATTCTAATGGGCACCTCTGTATCAACAGAGTAACAAGATAATCCACACATCAATCTTAGCATAACTATATGGAGACAACCAGACAGGGTATAATGCAATAGGATGTAAAACATTAAAAGAAAAAAGGAGAAGGGGAAGTAGATGGGAAAGGGGAAGGAGAAAGGGGAAGGGAAGATTGAACCTGTATCTAATCAAGTCCTAACTACCAGTTTATGGAATACTGGGGATTATAGGAGGATCAAGTTTAACACCACCATATGTCAACAATCGGTCAATGCGAGACATTCACAGGACAGATGACCTGGTTCTTCCAATAAATTAATGGCATGAAAATTTAGAATGGGAAGTGAGGAAGGTTGGTGGAACTGTTATAGAATAATAAAAAACAAAGAAAATCAAAAGGAAAGATTTTTGTAAAAATTGGGAAATTTTGAAATATGTTATTGGAATTATAAACAGTATTTTAAGTGTGATGACACAATGCTTAGAAAAACAAAAGTCTTTATCACTTATAAAATTTCTAAAAATAAAAATAAAGACCAGAATCCACATACTGAGGAACTTATTTATACAATATTGAGTTTTCTTCAAACTACAGTACATACTAAAATGATCACTTTTAAATTAATTGCCCAAGTTTATGCTACCTTTTTTATAAAGACTGCCCTTCCCTGCAGGCCCGGTCGCCCCAACTTCCCTCCTCTGCCGGCCTAGTCACCCCTAACTGCCCTACCCTGCTGGTTCCTAACCACTCACCTGGCTGCCTGCCTGCCTGATTGCCCCTAACCACTCTGCCTGCTGGCCTGCTTGCCCCCACTGCTGACCTGCTCACCCCCAAATGCCCCTACCGCCAGCCTGATCACCCGCAACTGTCCCCCCCTCGTGCCAGTGCGCTCTCCTCCAACTGCCTCCCCTGCCAGCTTACCCTCAACTGCTCCCCCTACTGGCCTGCTCACTCCAAAGTGCCCCTATCCTGCTGTGCTGATTTCCTCCAACTGACTCCCATTGACAGCCTGCTAGCCCCCAATTGGCCCCCTTGCTAGTCTGCTTACCTCAAAGGCCCAGCCCCCCACCAGCCTGATCACAACTGCCCTCCCCTCTGGCCTCTAACCACCTCTACCTTGCCCCAACAGCATGGCTTTGTCCAGAAGAATGTCTGGAAGGCTTCCTGGAAGGTCTCCCAGTCTAATTAGCATATTACCCTTTTATTAGTATAGACCAGAGGCCCAGTGCACAAAATTCATGCGGGGGGGAGGGGCAGGCGATGTCCATGAGCCCAGCCTGCACCCTCTCCAATCTGGGATCCAGGAAGAATCAGGCCTAAACGAGCAGTTGGACATCCCTCTCACATTCCAGGACTGCTGGCTTCCAACTGCTCACCTGCCTGCCTGCCTGATTGCCCCTAATCACTTCTACCTGCCAGCCTGATCACCCCTAAACACTCCCCTGCCAGCCTGATTGATGCCTAACTGCTCCCCTGCCAGCCTGTTTGCCCCTAATTACCCTCCCCTGCAGGCCTGGTCACCCTAACTGCCCTCCCCTGCTGGCTTGGGTCCCCCCAATTGCCCTTCCTTGCAGGTCCGGTCATGTCCTTCCTCTGCTGGGCTGGTTGCCCCTAACTGCCTACCCTGCAGGCTTGATCGCTCCCAACTGCACTTCCTTGCAGGCCTGGTCCCTCCCAATTGCCCTCCCCTACTGGCTATATTGTGGAGGCCATCTGGTGTCCACATGAGTGCAGCCATCTTTGATCACATGGGGGCAGCTATCTTGTGTATTGGAGTGGTGATTAATTTGCATAGTACTCTTTTATTAGATAGGATACAAGCCAGGTGCATGGGTGGGGGCCAGCTGGTTTGCTCTGAAGGGTGCCCTAGATTAGGGTGGGGGGTTCCTTTGGGGTGTGGAAAGGCCTAGGCCACGGGCCTAGGTTCATTTGCAGGCCGGCCATGCCCCTATGTGGTAAGGATCCCAGCTGAGGGATGTTTTCAGGCTGGCCACACCCCTTTCAGGGTGGAGGTCCACACTGGGGTGCCTGGCCAGCAGGCTGGAAACAGTTATCTGGAATTTATTTATCTTCTATAATTGAAACTTTGTAGCCTTGAGGGGAGGCCAGGGCAGACCAGGGTGAGGGTGGGGAGAAGGGAGGGACAACCCAAGCCTCCTGCTAGCTCCAGCTCCATGGCCACTGCCATCTTTGTTGGGTTAATTTGCATACTTGCTTCTGATTGGCTGGTGGGTTTAGCAGAGGTATAGTCAATTTGCATCTTTCTATATCACTATCTATATCTATTCCCATATCACTATCCTCTGTCAATACTGGAGAAGAGAAAGGAAAAATCCCCTATAGCTAAAATGTACTAATTTAAATAGAAAGGAGTGGTAGCAGACAAACAGGGACAAGAAAAATATTAAAAGCCTGGAAGAAAATATTCTTAGAAGGGTTGAATTACCCCAAATCTAAAGTCTACATTTAAAATTTCAGCAATGTCTTAAAATCACAGAGAAGCCTCTCTGAATACATGGACTTTGAGAAAAGCAAATTGCATGTAAATCAATAAGGAAAACATAAAATTAACCTTTAGAAAAATATGCATTAAATATGAATAGATAATTCCCCAAAGTGAAAAATGGACATACACAAAAAATACTCAAGGAAATCCATATGGCCTATAAATATGTGGAAAGATGCTCAAATACACTAACAGCAGATAATACAAATTAAAATATCAAAGATATAATTTCATACCCAACACATTAGCAAAATTTAAAAGTATGAAAATACCAAGTAAAAGCAAAGGGAACTCTCATCACTCCTATTTAGTCATTTTGGAGAGCAATTTGTAATGTCTGGTTAGCTAAAGATAAGTATACTGGAAGACCCAGCAATGTCATCTGTAATTATAGAGAAACTCTCATGTTTATTTTCACAAGAAGCCATGTAAAAGAACACTGTCTACAGCATTATTTTAAATAGAGAGAAAATGAAAACAACCTAAAAGTTCAATAAGGAAATTCTATATAATCCTATATAATAAAAACCAAATATGCTAAGTGTCCAGTAAACTGGTCAGCTATTCAACCAATTAAAGTGTAATATTTTAATGATATGCTAAGGCCACTCAACAGCTTGCTATGACGTACATTAACCACCAGGTGGCAGAGAGTTGACCAGTCGACCAGTTACTATGACATGCACTGACCACAAGAAGGCAGATGCTTCAACCGGTAGGTTATCTTGCTGCTGGGGTCTGGCGGATCAAGACTGAGCAAGAAGGGCCAGACACACACTGAAGCCCTTCTGCGGCCCCTTCCTAGCTGGCCAATTTCCTGTGTCTCTCCCTGGCCCCAATCTTGAACCAGGTCTTTAGTCAATAAACTGTGATCTATTCATAAATCAGATTTCTAAAATTCAACACATATCTCAAAACAGTATTTTTTGGATAATATAACAAATAGAATTTGCTTTTTTTGGCTTATTACTTCTTTCATTCAATATTACAGGGTGAAATTAATCCATACTGTTGTACACAAGTGTAGGTTATTCATTCCTATTGCCATACAGCACATGTGTGGCAGGAGGGAGGGGAATATACTTTAACTTACCTATGTTTTATGTTGATAGGCATTTGGGCTGTTTCTATTTTGGGTATATTATGAATAACTAAACCATGAGTTTATAGTACATGTTTTTATAGAAAACATATATATGCATTTCTGCTGAATATGCACCTAGAAGCATTATTGCTGGGTTAATAGTATATGATTATATTTACTTTTATTACATACTGCCAGTTTTCCAACATGGTTGTACCAATTTATACTCCAATAAACAGTAACCAAGAATACCAGTTGTTCCATATCTCCTTCACCAACATTTAGTTTGCTGTCTTTTTCATTTTAGCCACTTTGGTGTGTCTGTAGTGGGGACTCAGTGGGATATGAATTTCCCTGAAATCTATATAAGATGAACAGCTTTCATTCATTTCTTGGCCATTTTGCTATGCTCTTTCTTTCATGAAGTGCCTACTAATTTCTGCCTACTTTTTTAAAAATTGAGTTACCGTTTTCTTATTGATTTGAAGGAGTGTTAATATACTAGAGGCCAGGTGCATGAATTCGTGCACAGGGGGAGTGCAATAGGTCCTCAGGGTGGGCAGCAGGACACCATTGCGAACCCAAGATCCGGATCCATTCCATAGACATTGCGTTGCTTGTTGGGAACCACCTGGTGGCAGCTTTTATATTGTTGCTTCCATGTGAAGTGTTTATGGTCCCTCTACTT